CACAAGCCTGTACAGGATTGCAATCATTATGCAAAGCAGGAAGAATAATGAAGATTAATTCCTTTTGGGGGGGCCGAGCAATTATAAAGATTTTTCTTTTTTTTTAGCAAATGCATATGGGCTACTCATCTAACAATCCTGGCTGGCTAACAGTAACAAAACAAGTTAAAATAATAATAGAATGCTAACTGTAAAACAGGAGGCATGATGGTTCAGTGGTTAAAGATGCTGAGTTTGTCAGATGGAAAGCTGACAGCTGGGATTCGAGACTGAACAAACCAAAATGAACAAAAATAAAGAGAACAGCTTGTTGGGCACCTTCTTCACATCTTTAGGCCTCAAATAGTGGTGGCGGCAACCCCTTCTTAACTGGGCAAAATGGTGCCCTGGAACAAGATATTGTATGAGGTGAAACCTGGACAAAGAATTTGTCATAGCAGGCTTCCAATGGCCAGTATAATTCCTTTTTCATGATCCTGTAATCCAGGGGGTGGGATTCTACTGGTTCAGATCGGTTCGGGCAAACCGGATGTTAAGTTTTCATCTGGTTCGCCGAACCAGTATTACAACCAATCGGCTGGCCCCACCCACCCCTTCCCTCCCCTCCCAGGAGTCTCCACATGGCCCATTTTCGATGCAGGTAAATGCAGGGGCTGCGCGGAGGCTCTGGGAGCAGGAAAAAGGGACCTTCCGGAAGTCCAGAAATGGGTCTGTTTCCAGCTTCTGGAGGGCCTCCAGAGCTCAGGGGAGGCCATTTTCGCCCTCCCAGAGGCCCAGGGATGGCCTCCAGACCCTTGCGAGAGCAAAAAAAGCCCCCCCCTGGAAGTTCCAGTAGGCCACGCCCACCCAGCAATTAGTTCGTTGCCCGGTTGGTGGGATTTTTGAATCCCACCCCTGCTGTAATCTCTTAATTCAGGGTAAAGTTGAGATCACTGGATAGGGCTGAGAGTTTCCTAGCCGATGCCCTTCTTGATGCCACATTGAATTCACAGCAGATATTTTTTTTCTTTGCGTCCTGGGAGAAGAACATTTTCAAAAGCTATATGGATGGTTCCTTGAAGATGTAGCAGAGCTTCAAAGCAGTCCCAGTTAGTAACCTTCACTGGCTCATGGATTATTATTATTTTAAATTATGATTATGCTACTCTCAGGCAACTACCACTGATCTCATGGCGAGAGTTTTCCTATCGCCTGCCTTCTATCGGCAACCAATCAGTTGTATCTCCCAAAGCAATTCTGAAAACTAGAAAGATCAGGCTTCATAGAGGTCACTATTGTAGGGAATCTATAGTCCAGCCTATCTCACCATTCCATAGATTCAAGAAGGCCACTGGCACTAGCTCCTGTAAAATCCACCAAGGAAAGCAAGGATCCAGAATAACAGAATTAGAAGGGACCTTGGAGGTCTTCTAGTCCAATCTCCTGCTCAGGCAGGAAACCCTACACCACTTCAGACAAATGGTAGTCCAATCTCTTCTTTAAAACTTCCAGTGTTGGAGAATTCACAACTTCTAGTGGCAAGTTGTTCCACTGATTAATTGTTCTCACTGTCAGGAAATTTCTCCTTAGTTCTAGGTTGCTTCTTTCCTTGATTAGTTTCCCTCCACTGCTTCTTGTCCTGCCTTCAGGTGCTTTGAAAAATAGCTTGAGTCCCTGTTCTTTGTAGCAGCCCCTGAGATATCAGAACACTGCTCTCAAGTCTCCCCTAGTCCTTCTTTTCATCAAACTAGACATACCCAATTCCAGCAAAGGTTCTTTATATGTTTTAGTCTCCAATCCCCTAATCTTTGTTGCTTTTCTCTATGTTCTTTCTAGAGTCTCCACATCTTTTTTTTACACTGTGGCGACCAAAACTGGAGGCAGCACTCCAAGTGTGGTCTTACCAAGACATTATTCCTTAAGATTCTCTGGTCTTAATGGATCTCTAACAGGGGTGGGATTTTACCGGTTCGCACCTATTCGCTAGAACTGGTTGTTAACATTCTAAGCAGTTCGGAGAACCGGTTGTTAGAAGAAATTACTGGTCTAATTCTGTAAGGAAGGCAGGAAGGAAACATTCTGGTGTTGCTTACAGAAACTGCCTCTCCGTTAACCCTTATTACATTCTTGGCAGGACTAGACTTCCTGTCTCAGAAACGTCTCTGGAGGTTTTTTTCCTCCTTTGCTGGTACTTTGCTTGTGTGGAGTGACCATTCAAAGTTACAATGGCACTGAAAAAAGTGACTTATGACCATTTTTCACACTAACAACTGTTGCAGCATCCCCACAGTCATGAGAGGCCAGGCGAGGAAATGCATGCCTCAATGTGAGTGATGTTCAGTTGGCCACACCCAGCCAATAACATGACCACCAAGCCATGCCCACCAACTAAACCACGCCCACAGAACTGGCTGTTAAAAAAATTGAATCCCACTCCTGATCTCTAACCTTTGCAGAAGGGATCTGACCATGACAGCAGGGTTAAACCCCATATTCCAGCTACCCGTCTTGGCTCAAGACAAAAGCAAATTGTGGTATATTTTGCTCAATGTATTGGTCAATGTGACAACAAGTAGCAGTCCCATGGTTGTCACAAAATCCCAAGCCAATTCTACTAATGAAGTGTCAGCTATGCAACAAATCATAATTAAGCAACTTGTGATTTAACTAGATACATTAGGTCTCTATCGTGTTTGTATCAAATTCAACATATATTTTTCCAAAGCATGCTGCAAATTGGGTATTGTACATAAGTGCAAATATTTAGAGGTACAGTATGCTTCAACATCTCTAATTTTGGGGCAAGCAAATGTTTATTCCATCCCAGTCTTTCTATGCAAATGCTAATTTAAAAAAAAATACATTTAGTTTCCTGTAATATCTGCACTGTTGTAGCTAAAATTGCTTACTGAATTTTTTAAAAAAAAGATAATTGTATTGGGTCAGGTAGTGATCATTATACCAAAAGCCAAACAAATAAATTTCCCATCCCTATCACAAAATTAACCAATCAAAATGTAACTGCAATGTATTGGGTGGGTAACTGCTGACATCTGACGGTATAAAAGTAAATTACAGCACTAGTTACCAGGAAATGGGCTCTACAAATACAGAAAAGATGTAATATATATTTGAAATCAAGCCCTTGCAAAATTAAAAAATAAATAGATAAGTTTGCGTTGTACAGAGACACTAGCTAAGAGATGCATTTGAACTGATATATTACTGCAGAAAGCAATTAGGGCTGCGCAGACCTGGGTTCAAATGGATAAGTTCATCCCTGGGTGAGTAGGTAGCCACTATTGGAAAAATCTTAAAATAGCCATATCTTTCTCAAGGACACAGTTGCCCGCATGCCTTACACAGCTGATGTACAAGTCTCAGGACAATATCTCCTTAGTTCAAGGTGTTTCTAAAGGATACACATTACCAACTTTGAAACCAGATCCTTTATGAAGTCCTTATCATGTGCAGGAAAATCAGAAGACCAGACAGTTCAAATGAATATAAAAGTTCACTGCAGGGTTATGCTCTCTATAAGAATCTGAACTACTAACGGTCAAAGCAAATTGGTGGTAAAGAAGAGTCAATACAATTCAAGATTTCCACCATGCTCAAGGTTGACTCAGTCTTCCATCCTTCCGAAGTGGGTAAAATGAGGACCCAAATTGTTGGGGGCAATATACTGACTCTGTAAACCGCTTAGAGATGGCTATAAAGCATTATAAAGCGGTATATAAGTCTAAGTGCTATTGCTGTTAGACAGACAGCTTGAATACCCATCATTAACTTTCCTTCGATCAGAAGAAACACTAAACAATGTTGCAAAAATTATAGGAGATGCACAAACAACTGACACAACAAATGATACATTTGTTGATACATTCCTTGGCCTGGTTCACACCTCATGCTTCTATACCTGTTTGACATAACATCCACCTATTCAGGTAGTCCTCGACTTAACGACCACAATTGAGCCCAGAATTTCTGTTGCTAAGTGAGAAATGTGTCAGGAGAGTTTGGTCCCGTTTTACAAGTTTTCTTTACAAGTTTTCATTCAACAGTTGCTAAGTGAATCACCACATTTTCTTAAATTAGTAACCCCAGTTGTGAAGTGAATCTGGCTTTCCCATTGCCTTTGCTTATTGGATGGTCATAAAAAGGAAATCGCAGGAGATTGGGACACGGCAATCATCATAAATTTGAGTCAGTTGCCAAGCATCCAAAATTAATGTAAATCATGTGACCATGGGGATGCTACAATGGTCATAAGTCACTTTTTTCAGTGTCATCATAACTTCAAGTACCTGTATTTTCTTTATTTGCCATGGTGGCAAGTAAACATTTTACTTCCTTGACTTTGTCAATACATCAATGCAGTTTTTACTGGCAACCGTGGGAAGTGATTTTTTTTTCCCCATTGCCTTTTTTTGGGGGGGGAACGTTGCCCAAACTGACGTCCTTGGGATTTCCTGGTAGTCTCCCATCCACCAATAAAACGTGACCTAGCAAAGGCATAAACGGGAGCGGGGGCTTCTTGAAAGCAGCTCTATTCCTGAACCTTGTAGCTTTCCCCCAAAAGTACAAAACCTCCCCTTCACACAAATGTGGGATCCATGCAGCCGAGTTTAACCCAGTTTAATCTTACCGGCGTTACTACAACTCGCGTTACTCTTTCTTTCCCAGGACTCGGGCCTCGCGTCGCCTAGCAACCGACTCGCCCGTTAGCGACACCCGTTTCCAAGGAGACCAAAAATTCTCCGCCCTTTTTTTTCCCCTGATCCCACCCCTTCCGATTGGGTAACGAAACGTTCCATCCTCCTTCCCCGGCCATTGGAGATTTTAAAAACCAAACAAACAAACCAATCCTCAAGCGTGCGAATGGCATTCCGGGATTTGTAGTTGAAATGCCCGACTTTTGGGCGCTTGCGTGCCTTTGCGCGCGGGCGAGAAACCACAATTCCCAGCAGCCCTCGCTGCAAGTTTGACATGTCCGGGTAGTACTGCAGCTGCAGTTGCAGATCAGTGTGGGGTTTTGTGCATCTCCGGTGGGAGGCAACGCACGATTTTTTTTTTTTGGGGGGGGGGGGGGGAGGCGAGCAAGATGGGCTTGTAAGGGGGAGTTCTGATGCAGTTGACCCCACACCCCATGCAAAAACTGGGGAAAGGAAGACCCTACCTGTCCTTTCCTAGGATGGGATGTTAGCAAAAACATCCCCATAGAAGCCAGGATGGTGCATAGCAGGTTGCCAGGATGGTGCTACCTGGCGGGGAAGGCGTTATCAAGGAGCAATCGTGGTTTGCTGAAGGGGAAGAAGAGTCCCCACAAAGTGGCCTTGTTCACAAGTCAGGCAAACCTGGGTCCTACAGAAAAGGACCCAAAGACTAATAAGCTTCTCAAGGAGTGGACCTTGGTTGTCACTCCTTTTGGTCTGCTGAAGGCGCGTCTCCCTTGCCACATTACAGTGGGGCCCCTGGACCCCCATAAGTACCCCGATTCTGACAAGGTATTTGTTGCCCTTAAGGGCAGGGATTCCAATCCTGACCCTGCCTCTGGTCTGCTTGTGAATTACGATGAAGCCCGGAAGGAGGTGAAGATTATCTCTGATGGTGTGGACGGCACAGCTTCCCTGGATGTGAGGACCCCTGTAAATTTTGGTAGGTGCAGAAGGGAGAGTGGGTGCTGGTAGAATACAAGCAGTCCTCGACTTAATGACCACAATTGAGCCCAAAGTTTCTGTTGCTAATCGGGGGCAGTGGTGAAGTCAGTTTTGCTCCAGCAACATTAAAGGAGTTGTCACTCAATGCATCTTGAATGGATCAGAGGGTGAAGTTTTATTTTGACCAATTCAGATATGCATCTTGCTCTCTGTGTTTCACTGCTGACATCACGAAAACAAACTCAAGACTGTTCTGATCTCCATTCATTGTTAACTTTTTTAAAATTAATTTTAGATTTGGATATCAAAACAACCAGAAATGGCTCTGTGAAGATTGAACAAATGCAATGTGCTAACTGCAAAGTAGAAACAGAGAAAGGAGCGAGTGTATTGAAGTCAATAAAGGTACCAATCTCTCATCATGGTCTTTCTTTGTTTTATGAATTGTACGTAATCTTCAGCATCTTAAATCTCAGGGTTACTTTTTGCAGATGCAACAACTGATGATTTCACATCCAGGAGATTGATTTCCTGTATCTGATGTTTTTGCTGCTCATAGATGGAATTATTTAAAAAAATCTCCCCAAGCATTTCTTGGCTACAGTTATTAAGCAAATCGGGCTTCCCCATTTACTTTGCTTGTTAGAAGGTCGCAAAAGGAGATCATGTGTCCTTGGGACACAAGAACGGTCATAAATATGAACCAGTTGCCCAGACCTAGTTGAAAAACAATTTCCATGATGCAAGTGTTCATTTTCCAGGAAAGTTCAAAGAAATATATTAGGAGAGTCAGATTTGAAAGTTAGAACGTGCCATAACCGGCAAATGAATCTTAGAAGGAAAACGGAAGTAAACTTTTTTAACACCTATGCAGTTTTCTTTCAGAGTCATAAAATTGATCTCCGAGCAAAAGGAGGGGACGTTACCTGTTTGGGAACTCTTCAAGGAAATACTGATATTCTTGTGTCACAAGAAAGTGTAAGTGAGAGCCGTGTGAGTAGCATAAATTAAGTTACACTAAAAGGTATATTTTTAATATTAAACAATACAGGAAGAATTATTTTATTTTTTTGTACTTGCATCCACTGTTAATTCTTCCTGGGCTTCAGTAATACTGACTCTGTAAACTTATCTTCTATCAGAAAAAAAAAATCTAAAAATTCAAATTTTAAAAACAATTCTGTGCTTATCTGCTATTCTTATGTTGCTTAATTCAAACGCTGCATTATTGATTGACAATAATTATTGACAAAAAATCATTTTTCATGTTATACGTATTACAAGAAAACTAAACAGCAGTCCTCAGCCCATTTTATATATAAAAAAATCACTTGTCCAGTTTTAAATAAATTTATCGGGGCTGTGGTTCTTAATGGAATGCATTGGCAAAGTTCATGTAGTAGATTTTTTTTTGGTATTTTTAAAAAGATAACGATCACCTCATTTTGCCAGAATCCTAATGCAGGTAGTTCTTGACTTACAACAGTTCATTTAGTGATTACTTGAAGTTATAATGGGATGGAAAAAAGTGACATATGACCGTTTTTCACACTTATGACTATTGCAGCATACTTGTGGTCATATGATCAAAATTCGGATGATTGGCAACTGGTTCATACTTATGACGGTTGCAGTGTCCCCGGGAGTCATGTGATTCCCCTTTTGCGACCTTCTGACAAGTGAAGTCAATGAGGAAGCCAGATTCACTTAACAACCACATTAATTAGTTAACAATTGTAGCGATTTGCTTCAAAATTGTGGCCAGGGAGGTCGTAAATAAGACAAACAATAACCAAAGGGAACAGAAACCTTTTAATGAGTCTTATGAATCCCCGGTTAAAAGGCTACTGCAAACTAATTAACTTTGATAAGCACAAATCTTGCCAAAATTTTACAAGACTGCCAAAAATCACAGATAAGAAATATTTCACAACACAAGAGTCTTCAAATACCAAATTAAGATACTGTAATGTCCACGAGGCTGGAGTTTCAAAATGTCTTTGCTTCCTGCAAAGAACGTTCGTTTCACAGCTGGCTTTTATCTTCTTGAAGGAGGGCCCATTACCTTGCTGCCTTACTCCCGAGTTGCCCATGCTGTTTGTAGCTGCTCTTTCCTACGAGCAATCCTGCGCTCACGCACACTTGGCACAGGCTCCTCGGGAACCTCCTCATCACTGCTGCCAGCCCCCACAATCTCTGAAGGCAGCAATCCACTCCCTAATGGTCCTGGGCCCTCATGAGAGTCCTCACTCTCCTCAGCCGCCCGCACCTGCTGCCGGTTAACCACAACACTTAGCAACAGAAATGGGCCCAATTGTGACCCTAAGTTGAGGCCTACCTGTAGTCCTTGACTTAGAATCATTCACTTAGTAACTAAAGTTACAACTGTGTAACTGAAAAGTGACTTATGATGGGGTTCATACTAATGACCGTTGCAACAATTGTCTTGCTTACAGAAATTTTGGGCTGAATTGTGGTTATATATCAAAGACCAGAGATGGTATTCAGCAGATTCTGACTGGTTCTAGAGAACCAGTAGTGGAAATTTTGAGTGGTTTGGAGAACCGGCAAATCCTACCTCTGACTGGGTCTTCTTTGGTTACCCTGCACAGGAGAACAGAGCTGGAAATCAGGTTAGTGGGGTGGGGAGGAAATGGGGATTTTGCAGTAACCTTCCCCTGGAATGGGGTGGGAATGGAGATTTTACAGTATTCTTCCCCTGCCACACCCACCAAGTCACACCCACCAAGTCACACCATGCCCACCAAGCCACGCCCACAGAACCAGTAGTACTAAAATTCTTTGAATCCCACCACTGTCAAAGACTATCTGCATCCTACATTCAAACTTTTGAAAAGTTGTTGAAAATCTCTTTTCTAAGAAATAGAGCGAGGTGCTATAGATTTGCCAGAAGATGGCATCTTTAGCTAGTGGAATTTCTCTTTGGGTAGTAAGAAAAAAAATTCCTGTCAGTTTTTGTTGAATGATCCTGAGTTGGGCAGCCCTATGAGGAAAGAATTATAGGTTTCTATAAATACCGGTAGTTCTTGACTTATAACAACAATTCATTTAGTGACCATTTGAAATTACGATGGCACTGAAACTGTTTTTCACACCTTCTCAGAAGCAAAGTCAGTGGAAAAACCAGATTCCCTTAACAACTGTGTGGCTAACTTAACAACTGCAGTGATTTGCTTCACAAATCTGTCAAGGAAGTTCGAAAAAAAATGGGGAAAACTTTATTTAACACATGTTTCCCTTGGCAACCTAAATGTTGGGCTCAATTGTGGCCATAAGTTGAGGACTACCTGTATGAGCTTATATATCTTAGAATGTTTTCTTGATCAACTTTTGGTTTCTTTTGTGCTCTCCTGTAAATACTTTTTTGATTGGAATCGGTGGAATGGCTATAAGGTTTTATAGCTATAAAATTAGGCATCCATCCAGGGTATGCTAAGATTTATCTGCCAAATGTTGGAAGGAATATCCATTGGGTTCAGTGCCACGCTGGGAGAAAGAAGCTGGAAATAAAATGGAGGCTGGTGGCTGATTGGCAAGAAATGTAGAAAGTTAGGTCTGTGCTCCTAATTAGACCCTTGAAAGACAGGGTTTGCCAGGCCTTTGGCTGAATGTGAATGCAAGAAATTCACCTTCGTTTAATAAAAGGGGTTTTGCCAGGACAAAGAGTCTGCTTAGTGCTTTTTGGGGTAGCCTCGGACAGAACAGTGTCCTGTTCTTTTTAATCCCATCATCCTGGAGCTGAAGGTCTTTGGGGTGGAGCTACTCAGAAAGACTGCTTTCTGTCTTTAAAAGCATGTTTCTCCATTTCTCCCTTTGGGAGAAATATCGTATTCTGGCCTTTGTAATATTTCCCAAAATATTTCATTCTTCTAGGAAGGGAGGGGCATCCCACACAAATATAACAGCAAGGCAGCCAACTGTGTGTCAGAAATACAATAGTAAGAAATTTGGCTGTCTTTTCTCACAGAGCGATTTCTGTTAGCAATCAACCTGCCTTTCGTTCGACCCTGGGGATCTTTTTTATAACAATTTTATTCCATCTGTTGTAGATGTCATTACGTAGTTTAAGATTCAGCATTTCCAGGATAAACCAAGGCACGATGAAGGTTTATGGCAGTGCACTATAAGTTCTCCTGGTCAGGGGTGGACTTCAAAAATTTCAGCAACCGGTTCTCTGCTCGCTTGCTGAGTGGGCGTGGCCATGGTGGGCATGGCCTAGTCGGCCTCCTGCACCATAGTGGAGGAGGGGCATTTTTGCCCTCCCCATGCTCCGGAGGCTTTCCTCGAGCCTCCGGGAGAGTAAAAATGACCTCCCCCGGGCTCTGGAGGCCCTCCGGAGTTTAGCTTAGTTTACTTTACTTTATTGTCAATGCACCTCGTACAATGAAATTAAATACCATCTTCAGTGTACATTACGACTATGAAAATAAATACAAACACACCTTAACTACCATGTGACTAATTTAACAACTGCAATGATTCACTTAACGACAGTGGCAAGAAAGGTTGTAATATGGGTCTAAATTCCCTTAATAAATGTCTCGCTTAGCAACAGAAATTTTGCACTCGATGGTGGTCGTTAAGTCGAGGAATATCTGTAAACAAGTAATTATTATTACTTGTTTACAGATATTCTATGGAAACAAGTAATTTTTCAATGCCAGTTCAGTTACTCCGTACCGGTGGTGGGATTCAAATTTTTTTACTACCGGTTCTGTAGGCGTGGCTTAGTGGGTGTGGCTTGGCTTGGTGGACGTGGTAGGGGAAGTATACTATAAAATCTCCATTCCCTCCCCACTCCTGGGGGAAGAATATTGCAAAATCCCCATTCCCTCCCCACCCACTAACCTGCTTTCCAGCTCCATTCTCCTGTGCATGGCAACCAAAGAAGACCCAGATGATCAGCTGGGACTCAATGGGAGGCAGAGAATAGAGGGGGGCGGGGCCAGTCAGAGGTGGGATTTGCCGGTTCTCCAAACTACTCAAAATTTCCGCTTCCGGTTCTCAGGAACTGCTCAGAACCTGCTGAATACCACCTCTGCTCTGTACCCCATTATTATTCATTCTTGTTACCATAAAAACACACGGATCAAATTAATGCCAGGATCTTGCCTAACAATGCATTTAGGAATGAAGTGTTGCTTTATAAAATGTGTATTGTGTGTCCATAACCAATAAGCAGAAAATCTTACATCTCAAGGCCCCTTCCCCCATCAGTCTCCCATTTTAAAGGTTTAAACCTTCATCGTGCTTTCGTTTATCCTGGAAACGATGAGCCTTAACTACATAACGATGTGTCTAACTGGTGGAACAAAATCGTCATTAAAAAAAAGACAAAGATGTTTTACATGTCAGCGCAGATGTTAGAGGAGTGTAAATCAGTCAGATGCTGCCCATAAAACAATCAGAATTGGAAAATTAAAAGCATATTAAATGTTCGATTGCGGCCTGAACCAGCTTGGAATGTAAGCAGCATGTAGTACAAGTTTTGTAAGAATATAAGTATATGTTATACTCGTTTGCGATCACTCTCGGCTCTTGTGAGTTAGTTAAGCAACTTTTGATTTTATTGTGGTAGATTTTGACTTGTCTGCTTTTAGCAGGTGGCAGTGCTAATGTGACCTTGGTGGTTTTAAGAAGCTAAATACAAATAGTTCTTGACTTACGACCACCATGGAGCCCAACATTTCTTTTCTTAAGTGAGACATTTGTTGAGTGAGTTTTTCCTCAATGTTAAGTGAATAATGCAGTCATTAAGTCATTTCTGACTTCCCTTCCCTCGACCTTTTTAACAACCTCTCTTGCCACAGTTGATAAGTTAGTCACCCGGTCGTTAAGCGAACCTGGCTTTCCCATTGAGTTTGCTTGTCAGAAGGTCGCAAAAGTTGATCACCTGGTCTAGGGACACAGCAACAAAAGAATTTTATTTTGTCTACTTAGAGCTACTTAATTGAAATCACACCCCCCCCCCACTTCCACTCTCCCAGGCTATGTGGCAGCATGGAATATGGCTTCCAAAGCTGACACTTATATTCTTCACCAAGCAGCTTATCATCATAAATATACTAGCTCTATACCTGTGCTTCGCTACGAAACTATGTGATTGGACTTAGTTTTGGGGAGGAAAATAAGGGGGGCAAAATTCTGCCTCTGCCTACAAGCATCCATCAGTATTCATCTGGCTAGCATCCTGTCAGTGTGTGAGAGAGTTGATGGCTGTTTGGAAACTGAAATGGTATTTGCTGTATGAGCAAGAAGGAGACAGCAAGGAGTCTGGGAGAGGCTTAGCTGTTGGAACAGATTTCTTTTCAGGTGGGGAGGGGGAGTAGAACTCCTTAGCATCAGAGCATGTTAATAATAATAATATAGGAAATACTAATGCTCTGATGGTCATTTTGAAAAATCCTTTCTTAGTGAGCACCTAGAAGCCAAGAGGAACATACGTGCCAAATTTCAAGTTTGTAGGCTTTATGGTTCTGGAGATTTTGTCATGATGCGTGAGTGGTCTTTCGCTTTTATATATATATGTAGATTTTAGCAAAACTTTTATATATGTGCCGGTCTGAAATGATTCCATGCTTCTCCCTGATACATTCATGGTTCCTTTGCTTTTCCATGGTTAGCATAATTCAACAACCTTCAAACATTTTATATATTTACAGGGCTGGCACCTTGGCAGAACATAGACTCCTAGGCTGGAGCCAAAGCAAATTTACCAGCAGTTCCAACCGAATGAATTTTTTTCCAAGGTGTCCAGGGAGAAGCCAAGATCAAATACCAGATTGTTTCTTAGCTTTAATCTTTGCTCTGCAGGACAGGTAAACCAGCCAGGAAGTTGATCTAAGCCAATCAGAAGTTGGGCCCTTGCCTAAATTGAAGTACAGGGAGGAAAGTCAAGAAAATGGCTTGGAAACCAAAATCTCGTTGCAGAAGATAGAATGAGAGGGTTGAAAGGGACTTTGGAGGTCTTCTAATCCAACCCCACTGCTTGAGCAGGAGACCTTATCCATTAAAAGCTTGGGTTATTGATAGCAATCCTTCTAAATTACCTACCAGATTCCTTCTTTGTAGAGAAAAAAACAGCTTCAGTGGAAAATACTTGTACCTTGTTCTTCATTTTTGCTTCCTCATTTATCATTTCAATCCTTTGAGGAGGAATACAGCTAGATCAGGTATGGGACCTGATCCAAGAAATTCGTATTTTTCTGAACTCATACCTCCCTCGTTCCCTTGACAAACACCGACTACCTTAGATAGCACTAATTCCTTCATTAATTTGTAGCGTCTTCCGGCAAACATTCCTAAAATTTTCCAAGCGTTCTGTGCTTTCCATAACTTCGGGGTTATTTCCAGATTTCTGGGAATCCCATCTTAGTTTGTTGTGAAATGTATAGCTTACTTGACCCGGGAGCTGAACTTTATAAGATAATATACACTTTATAGGAACTGTTGCTTATTTATTGACTGTTGAATTGTATCCCGCCTTTATTATTTTTACAAACAATCCAAGGTGGTGAACATATCCAACACTCCTCTCTCCTCCTATTTTCCTCACAACAACAATTCTGTGAGGTGGGATGGGATGGGAGAGAGAGGGACTGGCTCAAGTCACCTAGCCAGCTTTCATGCCAAAAGCAGGAAAGAATAAAATAGAGTAGGGTAGAGTAGAGTAAAGTAAAACAGAACAGAATAGGAATAGGAAATGGATGAATAGAGAGTAGAGTAGAGTAAAATAGAACAGGAATAAAAAATGGATGAATAGAGAGTAGAGTAAAACAGAACAGAATAGGAATAGGAAATGGATGAATAGAGAGTAGAGTAGAGTAGAGTAGAGTAGAGTAGAGTAGAGTAGAGTAGAGTAAAACATAACATAACATAACATAACAGAGCAGAACAGAACAGAATGGGAAATGGATGAATAGAGAATAGAACAGAGTAGAGTAGAACAGAACAGAATAGGAAATGGATGAATAGAGTAGAGTAGAGCAGAGCAGAGCTGAGCAGAGCAGAGTAGAATAGAGTGGAGTAAATAGAACAGAATAGGAAATGGATTAATAGAGAATAGAGTAGAGTAGAGTAGAGTGGAGTAGAGTAGAGTAAAGTACAACACAACACAATGCAATTCTTCATTGGCCAAGTGTGACTGGACACACAAGGGATTTGTCTCCGGTGCAGAAGCTCTCAGCATACATACAAGCAACAAGTGTTAAATCAGGATCATAATCATAAAATACAATAATCATAAATCATAAGATGCAACACTCAGTGATAGTCATAGAATGCTAAATAAAAGCAATCAACATAAATCGTAAGACACAAAAAACGAAGTGATAGTCATAAGATGCTAAAGGAATTGGTAATAAGAAAGACGAGGAGGATGATAATAGTAGTACAGCCCTACTACATGGTTGGACATCCTAGGGCACAAGTCATTGTGGTGTGAATTAGTTGTTCATGGTCTCCTGCTTTCTATCCTGGTGCCTTAACCACTGGACCAAACTGGCTATTTGTCAGCGAGTCAGAATAATTACCATAATACAACTTTATTGTATTTTTTTTTCTTGCAATAGAATGTGAACATTGAAAAACTCCAAGGATCATCCATTAACATTACAAGTGAAAATGGTTTGCTCAAAGCTAAATATTTGTATGCCGAGTCCTCGTTTCTGACTTCAGTGGCTGGCGACATCTTACTGGGGAACGTCCATGGTAAGAGGGCAAAAAAGATTTCCTTAGAGCAACATTTCTCTACCAAATGCCTTTTTAAGGAAAAGTATTCTTTTTCGTACCCGGTTTAGTGCCTGCCTGTGTTTATGAAACTGAATATAGCACAGCCATTTTTTAAGTGCCTTAGGAGACTTGCAAGTTGAGCCAGATTTTGAAGATAACACAGCTCTATTAACGAACAAAATGGAACCTTTTTCTAAGGTTATGTTCTCTGAGAAGTATCCTGACATGAACTAAAACCCAGGTGCCATTTACCAAAAGCTGCAGCCATATGTACAATTGCCCAGAACTAAAGCAATGGGTGGAAACTAATCAAGGAGAGAAGCAATTTAGAACTAAGGAGAAATTTCCTGACAGTTTGTGATAAAAATCAACCATTCAGGAGACACTGGATACATGTGAACAATAAATAAGAGCTTTATTATGAAGCTTTTGCAAAAGGGAATTCTGCTCATGGGCAGAAGACATGGTTCACAGGAAGGCTGGGGTTTATATACAGGTTCAAATATACAGTCTCTGCCCCTTTCCTGGGTTCATAATCTCCAGCTATATATCCAGCTACACAACACCCCTATTTTTGAAGCATAACATCTGTTTCCTCGTCCTGTTTACCCATTTCCAGTTCCAGTAATCTCCATCATTAACATGACACTGGACACCCTAACCTGCCAAATGTATACAAAACAATAGAGAATTCTTACATAATATTCCAGTGAATTATCACAAGTTAACTTAAGTTAACACAGAGGTTAAAATAGTGTTACCATTGCTTTTATATTTTCACAGGTATAATTCTACATATCACACAGTTAGAACAATTAATCAGTGGAGCTACTTGCCTCCAGAAGTTATGAATGCTCCAACACTGGAAGTTTTTAAAAAGATGTTGGATAACCATTTGTCTGAAGTGGTTTCCTGCCTAGGCAGGGGGTTGGACTAGAAGACCTCCAAGGTCCCTTCCAACTCTGTTATTCTATTTTCTATTTTCTAAAACTCCATTTATTTATTTGAAAAAAGTTATACTACTACCAATGTCATCTAAAACATTCCTAGGTGGCTAAAAAAAAAAAGATGCAAATTAGAAAAACAACCAAAGTTCAAACTCGGCACCATAACAATAGCCATTTGGAAAGGTGGGTTCCCATCCTGATTCAACATCTCAGGGTAGAAACAGAGTTTAATAGTCTTCCAGAAGGCCTGGATGATAAGATTCCTCCATATCTCTCAAGGTAAACCAGTTTCTTAGAGCAGGTCATTGTCTCTCAACCTGGATAACTTTAAGATGTATGGACTTCAATTCCCAGAATCCCCCAGTTAGCATCTGGTGATAGTATCTAGCTGATCAGATACTTATTCGTATCTGCGGGATCAGGTCTTACTAGTATTCGATGGGAGGTTGTTAAAGTATACCGACCTTGTAGGCTAGACTTTCTTTTAAAAAAAGAAATCGGCTTTCTTTTAAAAAAAGAGAGAGAGATTTGAGTTATGCAGGCTTCTGTAGAGAAAAATAACTTTGACTTCTTTCTTCATTTTTAAGCAGTACAATGTAGACGTGCGGGAAAGTGTTTCCAATTATTGTTCATGGGGAACAGAAAATAGACATGAATCAAATTGCTTCTGTCAATACTTCATGACTAATTGCCCCAATTTTGTATTTGCTGGATGTCAGCCGTAGTGGCAAATCAGATAATATAAGATAATATGTATTTCCATTTAAGAGAGCATGAAAATTAAAGAGTTTATTATATCCTATGACTGGTGGAATAGTTACTTGACCGCACCATTTTAAAAAATAAAATAAAATAAAAGTTCCTCTTCCAAATGACATGTTGAATTTTCTTCAGTTGACTTAATTTTGCAAGGCACTGTTGATTCTAAGACATTTTATGTTTTCTTGAAGTTACAAACTCAAAGCGACAATGAATATTACTGGACAAGAAGAATGCAAAACAGATCCTTTTCAATTGTGCCACTGAAATATAAGGTTGTTGTTATATAATTGCTTTATTTGCAATACTTGTGGTGGTACAATATGGTTGCTTTATGTGTGTTTTCAATCTATTTAATTCTTGTTAATTATTTTTAACCGGTTTGAGCATCATGCCTTAGGGAAGAGTAGGAATCCAAGAAATAAATGAATTGCAAAAATTTGCTAGAGCTTGGGAGCGATCCCAATACAGCGAAGAGTCGGAATGAGGAGCTGCTCTGTGATAAAACAAAAATAAGAATGGAAGTAGAATTAAACCAGTCTGTGCAAAAATGATTATGATATCCTTAAGGCAACATTTGTGTATCTGGTACTCAGAAAAACATTTTAGCTGGGCGAAAAACAACTTACGGCATCTGGAAATTGCTGAATTATACCTTCTAGCACAGGGGTGTCAAACTCAAGGTTGAGAGGGCCGCTTGAGAGGGCCGCTCCGTTTTCATGGGCAGAGGGTTGCAGGAGGCCGTGGCAGCCTGTTTTCATTGGCAGAGCCCTCTGCCCACCACAGGTGCCACCGACAGGCCATGCCCCCTGATATGGCCTTCAATGAAATTGAGTTTGAAACCCTTGTTCTAGCATCTCCTACCACTTTCCAAGTTGCTATCGAGAGATGCTAGGTTATAGTTAAGCAATGCTCTGTCTCAAAGTAGTAGGCCAGGCTATGAATGGTGGTTTGATTGCAAGATAGCTCCCCGATTCTGTCTGTTTACCAGCAAGCCAGCCAAGACTTCTTCAATTCAGACTTTATGCTTTACCTAAGAGACAATCAGTGGATCTTGGAAAATTTATTCTTCCTGGGATTAGTTTAGAGCCAGATTGGAAAATTTATTCTTCCCAGGATTAGTTTAGAGCCAGATCTTGCCTGGAATCTGCTAAGCAAACCACAGACCTGCTGTTAGCTGAGAGCGGGAGGGGAGGGAGAGTGGGAGACAGGAAAAAAGAGAAAGAGAGAAAGAGAAGGAGGAAGATTCAATAAAACAAAATGAAGCTACAATTGTTCTGACCCACGCCCTTTCCCAACAAATCAAACACAATCCAAAATGAACAGAAACCTTGTAATGCTTTTACAAAATAATTAGCTGTGATAAGTACAAGCCTTGCCAAACTGTGCGAGACTTGCCAAAAGATAACAGACAAGAAATAATTTGCAAAATAAGAATTTTCAAATACAAACTCAGGATACTGGAATGTCCACGAGGCTGGAGTTTCAAAACGTCTTTGCCTTCTGCAAAGTACGTTCGTTTCACAGCGGACTTTTATCTTCTTGAAGGAGGGGCCATTATCTTGCAGCCTTACTCCCGAATCACCCATGCTGTTGTAACTGCTCTTTCCTGCGAGCAATCCTGTGCACTCGCACTTGGCAAAGGCTCCTCAGGAACCTCCTCATCACTGCTGCCAGCCCCCACAATCTCTGAAGGCAGCAGTCCACTCCCTAATGGTCCTGGCCCCTCATCTTAGTCCTCGCTCTCCTCAGCCATCCACACCTGTTGCCGGCTGACCACAACAACAATTTGGTAAAAATAGCACTATATTCCTGCAGTGAAGTGTGGAAAATAAATTTGGCCCTGCTGGAATGTCTTTGGCATTAGTTTGTAATGGCACTGACTGCTGTTAATTTTTCTCAGCATCCCCAGGGTCACGTGATCAAAATTTGGACACTTGGCAACTGACTCATATTTATGGCAGTTGCAGTGTCCTGGGGTCACATGATCTCCTTATGCATCCTTGTAATAAGCAAAGTCAATGGAGAAGCCAGGTTCACTTAATGTCCAAGTTACTAACTTAACAACTGCAGTGATCGACTTAACAACCGTAACTTAAGCAATAGAAATGTTGGATTCAGTTATGATCATAAGTCAAGGACTTATATTTCTGTACATTCAATAATACAGACAGTTTCCTTCTGCCTTTATGTGAATGTGGGTGTGTGGTACATATTTGTAGGAAAAGAGCAGGTAGAGCTGGAGGGAGGAATTAAGCAAGTCATAAACCTAGAATTGTTAACGAACGGTCCAATTTCTCTTGAATTCTGTCGACCCTCATCTGTTCGCAGTTTACACTAGATTCTTGTATGTAAGCTTGGGTAATAAATATTCTGAACTTAACAACTTAACGTACAATCCTGTTCCTTTGCATCTGATAATACTACAAAAAGGAACCTCTGATTCAATTCATAGTTGGTTTCAATCCCCTTTGGCTTCTTGCTTGTGCACCACAATGAATTGCGCTGTGTGTAAAGTGACCCTCACATTTTAAGATACCCACTGCTCTTCCAATTTCGTTACAGGTGATATTACCTTGGAGACCAAAACAGGGAGCATCACAGTTGGTAAGTTCTTGTTCTCCTTTTCTTGTTCACGCCTTTGTTTTTAATTAAGACAACACTGCTAAATCAGTTCTATGGGTTGAAAAGTTGGGCAGCTGTGCCTGGACATTTATATATATAAAAGCAAAATACCACTCACGCATCATCACAAAATCTCCAGAACCGTAAAGCCTACAAACTTGAAATTTGGCACATATGTTCCCCTTGGCTTCTAGGTGCTCACTAAGAAAGGATTTTTCAAAATGACCATCAGAACATTAGTATTTCCTATGTTATTATTAACACGCTCTGATGCTAAGGAGTTCTACTCCCCCTCCCCACCTAAAAGAAATCTCTTCCAAATGCAAAACACAAGCAGAGGAGTTTCAGTTTCACAGCAGCAACCAGCTTTGGTACAGAACAGTTGAGCTAAGCCACGCCCAGGCTCTTTGCTGTCTCCTCCTTGCTCACACAGCAAATACTGTTTCAGTTTCCATGTTTCAGTTTCCAAACAGCCCTCAACTCTCTCACACTGACAGGACACTAGCCAGATGAATACCGATGGATACTGGTAGGAAGAGGCACAATTTCCCTCCCCTTATTTTCCTCCCCAAAAACTAAGCCTGACCACATAGTTTCATAGTGAAGCATTCATGAATTTGGATTCAACGGTTCGTCTGCGGTGTTTTGAGTTCCACAGCTGCCAGTTTTACTACAAGCTCAACACAGATTGGATGTAATTCACTATGGCTTTATAGCAGAGTGGCAGTTATACCCATTGGCAGGAAATAGGTATGTTCATACCTCACGCTAAGCCACCCTGCTGTTTATTTATATTTGGGCTTGCATCTTCTGTGAATCCTTTCATTGTAAGTTTATAAATCATGAATTATGATGCGGCTCAGTGGGTGATAATTTTTTGCTCTGCTCCAAACGAATGGGCTGCTAAGCTTATTACTTCAGCGTCTTACACGGCTCAGATATTTGCAGGGAAATCGTCTAGACCAGTGTCTTTCATACTTGGCAAATTTAAGATGTGTGGATTTCAACTCTGCCTGGGGAATTCTGGGAGCTAAAGTCCATACGTTTTAAACTTAAAGTAACTTTGAGAAACACTGATCTGGTTGGGGGAAAAAATATGTTGTTGAATGGCCATATCAAGTTAAGGTCAAATGACAACCTATGAAAAGCTGCTGCTGTTGTTTTAACCATTCAGTTGTGTTATTAATAATGTGTGTGTTATCTAAACTGAAAGGTCTCAGGCATTTTGGCTCCCCTGTGTATATTTATTTTTAATATGACGGGTTCCCAGATTAAATTAAGCAGCATCAGAATTCAATGTGATCTTATCAAATAATCTAAGCTTGTTAATCAGTTGTTCATTCCTGTACTTTGGCACATAACATAAGTAAGCAATTATTTCTCACTGGTGTGTTGGCAAGCAAAAGAAATTTATTTTGATAGTGCGCTATGTCAGAGGGTTTCAAACTTTTTCAGAATGCAGAATTCCTTCCCTAGATCCTTGAGGATTTCAGTCAATGAATCCTGTTAGAAAAAGAAAGTATCTTGTTTAACAGAATAACAGAGTCGGAAGGGACCTTGGAGGTCCTCTAGTCCAAGCAGGAGACCCTATACCCGTGATGGTGAACCTATGGCATGCAGAGCCATTTGTGCAGGCACGCGAGCCCCAGCCAAACTTACCTGCACTGCGCATGCGCGCTTCCCAGCTGATTTTCAGCCGCCCAGAGGCTCAAGGGAAGCCTCTGCAGCCTTTGGAGGCCGAAAAACAGGAAATGACATAACAGGCCCATTTTTTTGGCCTCCAAAGGCTGCAGAGGCTTCCCTCAAGCCTCTGGGAGGCCTCAAATGGGCCGAAAATCAGCTGGGAGGTGCGCAGTGCAGGTAAGGGGGTGGCAGGGGGATCGCACACGCATGCGCAGGGGGCGTGGAGGGGGCATGTGCATTGCCTTCTGGGTGCTGGCATGCGAGCGCGCAAGTACAGGGCACAATTTTCGGCACAGGAGCCCAAAAAGGTTAGCCACCACTGCCCTATGCTATTCTAGACAAATGGCTGTCCAATCTCTTCTTTAAAAAACTCCAGGGATGAAGCACCTACAACTTCTGAAGGCAAGTTGTTCCACTGTCAGGAAATCTCTCCTTAGTTCTGGTTTGCTTCTCTCCTTGATTAGTTTCCATTCATTGCTTCGTGTCTTGCCTTCAGTGCTTTGGAGAATAGCTTGACCCCCTCTTCTTTGGGGCAGCCACAAATATTAGAAGACTGCCAGCATGTCACCCCTAGTCTTTCTTTTCATCAAACTAGACATACCCAATTCCTGCAACCATTCCTCATCCAGTCCCCTAATCATCTTGGGTGCTCTTCTTTGCACTCTTTCCAAATATTGAAAGAGAATTAGGCTCGGGATTCTACTATCCAGGGGGGACGCAGTGGCTCAGTGGCTAAGATGCTGAGCTTGTTGGTCAGAAAGGTCGGCAGGTCAATGGCTCGAATCCCTAGCGTCGCATAACGGAGTGTCTTCAAAACTGAAGCAGTCAGGTTAAAAACCGCTTAGAACAAGAATCACTTGTGATCTCAGTTTGCTTCGAGATGATGCTTGTTCCCATGAGTTTTTGTGCAGCCATATAATTTTGTGCGACCATATAAATATAAAAGGGACACGGTGGCTCAGTGGCTAAGGCGCTGAGCTTGTCGATCAGAAAATGGTCGGCAGTTCGAATCCCTAGTGCTGCGTAATGGAGTGAGCTCCCGTTACTTGTCCCAGCTTCTACCAACATAGCAGTTCGAAAGCATGCAAAAAAATGTAAGTAGAAAAATAAGGACCACTTTGGTGGGAAGGTAACAGCATTCCGTGCGCCTTCAGCATTTAGTCATGCCGGCCAGATGACCACGGAGACGTCTTCGGACAGCGCTGGCTCTTCAGCTTTGTAACGGAGATGAGCACCGCCCCCTAGAGCCAGGAACAACTAGCATGTATGTGCGAGGGGAACCTTTTACCTTTACCTCAACCATCCAAGGGCAGAAATTTAGGGACCTAGAATAATCCACACTGTACCCATAATATTTTTGGACAGCTATTTACCTGTCTAAAAAGATGCCCTTGAAACCTCAGGAATTTTAACCTAGGCTCTAGCAACCCAATACATGTGCAAAATAAATAAATAAATGTATGATCACTTGTATATAACATCAGAGGAAAATAGATTCTTGTTTTGTTTTTAATAAGTAAAACCATTAACTTGGATTCAAATGGAGGAGAAAATATTGTTAAAACATACACCCGAGACATCACACACGCCGATAATTCAGTCCAGATTGTTTCACCACACACAGGCAGTCCACAAAATGAATTTATGGTGCTACGTTTGGCTTGATACATTTATCTCATTTATTAGTTGCATCTGGTTTTGTCTGAGATATCTACTGAATAATTTTGGGATCTAGAATCCCTTATGCTTCGTACTGGGAACGAACGCACTACAGAATGAGGCGAGGCAGCTAAATTGGTTGCTCTGGCTTTATTGGTTTTCGCACGCTAACAGCAAACAAGCCGCTCAGCCTTGAGGCAACAGATGTTGGCCTGTCTGACAGCTTCTTATATAGTCGGCTGTCAAACTATCGGCCAATCAGGTTGCGGCTGGGCGCCCCCTGCTGGAACCAGGCCAGAGGGGGAACTTTTTATTTATTTATTTATTTATTTATTTTATTTATTTATTTGATTTGCCAATTGTTTACAAGATAATAAGTATAAATGTATACATAGTTGTGAATACATGAAATGGGTACATATAAGAAAAATAAAAGAATAAGAGAAACAATAGGACAGGGACGGTAGGCACGTTGGTGCGCTTATGCACGCCCCCTACAGGCCTCTTAGGAAAGGGGTGAGGTCAATAGTAGACAGTCTAAGGTTAAAGTTTTTGGGGTTTGGGGAAGAAACTACAGAGTCGGGTAGAGTATTCCAGACATTGACCACTCTATTGCTGAAGTCGTATTTCCTGCAATCAAGTTTGGTGCGGTTTACTTTGAGTTTGTATCTATTGTGTGCTCTTGTGTTGTTATGGTTGAAGCTGAAGTATTCATTGACAGGTAGGACATTGCAATGTATAATTTTATATACCATGCTTAAGTCAGACCGAAGACGGCGTAATTCAAGGTTTTCAAGTTCTAGAATTTCAAGTCTGGTGGCATAAGGTATTCTACAACGAGTAGAGGAGTGGAGAACTCTTCTTGTGAAATATTTCTGGACTTTCTCAATTGTGCTAATATCAGATACGTAGTGTGGGTTCCAGACTGATGAACTGTATTCGAGTATTGGTCTAGCAAATGTTTTGTATGCTCTGGTTAGTAGTGTGATATTACCAGAGAAAAAGCTACGTAGGATTAGGTTAACAACTCTTAATGCCTTTTTGGCTATGTAGTTGCAGTGGGCTCTAGCACTTAGATCATTAGAGGTGAGTATTCCAAGGTCCTTTACAGAGCTTGAGTCATCAACAAGATCTTGACTATTCAGCTTGTATTTTATTTTCTGATTTTTTTTGCCAATATGTAAGACAGAGCATTTATTTGTTGAGATTTGAAGTTGCCATTTGTTTGACCATTCTGATACATAGTCAAGATCTTTTTGTAGGGTAGCAGTATTGTCTGTGGTATTGAACAGCTTTACATCATCAGCGAAGAGAACGCAATTGCTCTTAATAAGAACATAGCACCCTACATGAGTTGTTCTTTCTTTTGGAGGGCTTACCCTCAAATTGCTCTAAACATGTCAGTTAATTTCCATTAGTTTCCAACTGGTTTTGAAGCAAAAATGCGTTTCCAAAGAGCATTCCTTTTTGGTCAAGTCTTCCTTTTGTGGAGATGCTGTTGCTGAACATTCAGAAAAATGGATTGTTTAATCTTTACCTTAAGAAGGTAATTGATAGTCATCTTCTTTTAATGACCCCATAATCCCTTGCAGGGTGGAGTCTGGGCAACTGAATGGAGTTGAGTGTTTACTGGCCAGATG